GGGACCAAGAGAAGGCAATCCTTCCATCCCAGGTCTGGTTGTGCGGGCTCCATGGCAAAGCACCACAGGTCGGGGGCACCTACACATCAGCCGTTTCTTCTCTCACGGTTCCGGTGGCCACAAGTTCAAGGTCAAGGTGTCCGCCGGGTTGGTTCTCCTGGGGCCTCCTAGCTCAGCGTGCAGGCGGCCGCCCTCCTGCCGCCCCTGCTCCTTCGTTCCTGGTGCTGCTTCCTCCTCTTACGAGGACACCGGTCAGACTGCTTAGGGCCCGACCACGTGACTCCGTTTCACTTTTCCTCACCTCTTCTCGGGCCCTACCTCCACATGCAGTCACACTGGGGCATCCTGGGGTTAGCACTTCCACCTTCGAATCTGGGGGACACCGCATAGTCCATAGCAGCCCCGTCACCAGGGGCCTGCGCACCCGCTGAGCGGAAACGTGGTCTGTCCTTCCAGAGCGCGGTGACGTTTGGGGACCTGGACGTCGCTTTCTCCCAGGAGGAGTGGGGCCGGCTGAGCTGCGCCCAGAAGGCCCTGTACAGAGACGTGATGCTGGAGAACTACCGGAACCTGGTGTCGCTGGGTACGGCCCCCCCTCGCTCCCACCTCCCCCGTCCGCTGCGGGCCGCCCTCTCCAGCCCTTTCCCCTCACACCATGACCATCTCCCGTTTCTCTATTATTCAGGTCTCTGCCGCTCTAAGCCCGACGTGATCTCCTCCTTGGAACAGAGGACAGAGCCCTGCATGGCCAAGAACGGGTTGACAGGAGGCCGGTGCCCAGGTGAGCGTGGGAGACCAGGTGGCGGCCACTCACTGGGGGTCACAGGTCAGCAACCTCAGGCAGGCGGGGTCATCAGGAGGCTCCTGAGCTCGGGGCCTGGAGGGCAAGGAAGTCCCCCTGGAATGGACGCCCCGCGCTTTCATCTCCTGTCGCTGCGCTGCTCTCCAGCTTCGCCCCATCCCTCTAACACAGCGGTTCTCAACCTGTGGGTCACGACCCCTTTGGGGGCCGAACGACCCTTTCACAGGGGTCGCCTAAGACCATCCTGCACATCAGATATTTACATGACGATTCATAACAGTAGCAACATTACAGTTATGAAGTAGCAACGAAAATAATTTTATGGTTGGGGGTCACCACAACATGAAGAACTGTGTTAAAGGGTCGCAGCATTAGGAAGGTTGAGAACCACTGCTCTAACATACCCTCACTCCGCTGCTCCGGGCGTCTTCCCCAGCTCCCTCCCGCCCCTTGACGGTCAGACTCACGTGGTCTCGGGTCTTTAAAGCATGTTTGGCCGACGCTGGTGTCATGTTCACTATCTTATTTCTCTTTGATGAAATGACTGGTTCATGGGCTTTTTAAAAACAATTGTTACCGCTCACACTTCAGAGGAACGGGCCATGCTGACAGGACAGGGGCCCAGAGGCATACGTTACGGTGGCTCGCGTGGGTCGCCATGTGGCTCAGGAGGGTTAGATGTTGTATTCCTGCAAGGGTTCCACCGAGCATCCATGTTTATTAGTACTAACTTTATTAGTAATAAAGCAGGAGGCTAGTGAGCTGGAGAAGACATTTTTTAAAAAATATATTTTACTGATTTTTCACAGAGAGGAAAGGAAAGGGAAAGAGAGTTAGAAACATCGATGAGAGAGAAACATGGATCAGCTGCCTCCTGCACACTCCCTACTGGGGATGTGCCCGCAACCAAGGTACATGCCCTTGGCCGGAATCGAACCTGGGACCCTTCAGTCCGCAGGCTGATGCTCTATCCACTGAGCCAAACCGTTCATGGCGAGAAGACATTTTTGCTGAATAAAATAGAGGAAGAGTCAAAGCGAGTGTTGCTGAGTAAACTCAAGTAAGGATTAGACGGCATTTCCTCCAGTGGCCTCCCTTCCCCTGGTCTGTCCCTCCACACTGCATCTTAGATGCCAGGCTGTGAGCTCTCTCCTCTGACCTCCCAATTCTCCCTCCCTCCCTGCTGACGGCTGGTGTGTCAGCGTTGAGGTGAGGAGGCTCACTGTGTGCAGAGTTGAAACTACAGAAGCGAGGGAACCTCAGTGAGGTTGGTTAATCAGGGAACAGCTCTCACAGTGATGCGCTCCTCTGAGGATTGAGTCCTCTGGTTGCCCGGTGGGGTGTTCATCACCCTGACCCCAGTGCAAGCGACGCTTCCTGTCGTGCTGTCTTTCAGGCGGGAAGGCTGTGCTGGAGGCCCCGCCCCGGGAGGTGCCCGTGGAGGAGGGCCCCTGTGAGGAACGGTGGTCCAGGGCAGCGCTGCTTCACAGACGGGCCGGCTGCCGCCTGCAGGGCTCCGGGCGGGGGCAGCGCTGTGATGGCGAGACTCTGCTCCAGAGGCAGCCGGTAAGTGGGGCCTCGCGTGGGGGCAGAGGGCATGTTGGTGGGCAGCTGGCAGGAGGTGGCGTTGAGGGAGGCAGAGCAGAGGGCTCCCAGGCAGCTTCCTGTTTCAGCAGCGCAGGCGGGCAGTCCTCGGACCCAGGGAGACAGCATCCTGCATGGGAGGAAGGAGGCCGAGCCGGCAGTGAGTGTGGGACACGCTCTCCTTTGCTGTTTTGGTTAATCCTTGCCCCAGGATGTTTTCCCATTGGTGTTTAGGGAGAGTAGAAGAGAGGGCAGGACAGAAATAGCGACAGGAGAGAGACACATCGATGGGTTGGTTGCCTCCTGCACTCGCCCCGACTAGGGCCCGGGCTGGGGAGGAGCCTGCAACCATGGTACATGTCCTTGACCTGAATCGAACCCGGGTCCGTTCAGTCCGCAGGCTGACGCTCTACCCACTGGGCAACCCCAGCCAGGGGAGAAGCTCTCCTCAGAATGCAGCGCTGCCTGCAGACAGGCTCCGCCCAGAAGGAGTGAGCAGGCGTGATGCTCAGAAAAGTGGGGACTTTAGTGCAATGAGTCACAACAGTCTGCTTAAGTCAGGACACGTGCAGCATGTGCTGCTGTGAGGGAGCCTCCAGCAGGCGCTCCCCTTTTTCTCAGCTGAGAGGAAGCCCCCCGAGTCACCCAATACCCGAGCTGGGGGGGGGCAGCCTTCAGTCGCAGGAGAAAGTCCATGCTGTGGGCGCTCATCCTCCACAGAATCACACATTTCCCACCGCAGAGCAGGGCCTCCTGTTTTCTCCCTCCCGCCAAACGCACGTGCTGTCACTCGGTCCAGCCCCCCCGACCTGCGTCACTTGGGAGCTAAGCGAGGATTCCTGGACAGACGTCTCTTCCAGGGTGTGATGGCTGGGTCACGGCCCGTCTGTGCCGTTTCAGGGCTTGGCGACCAGCACGCGGGTGGCCAGCGACTCCTCGCAGCAGCCCGGCCCGGCTCAGGGAAGTTTCCCTAAGGATGTGACTCGGGGGAGCCCGGACCTGGAGGCAGGTGAGGCGTCCCATCCAGCCTGACTCCCCCCCTCGGTGCTGAGGTGTGTGCGCGTGGTGGGCGCCCTGCGGTGTCGGGCTGAACCGTTGCTGTCGGTTTCCGAGGAGCATTTGCTGCTGGTGGAGCGGAAAGCTGGTGTCTTCGTTGTGCGTGAAGCGCTCTGTGCTGTCAGGGCCTCCTCACTCTTCTTCCTGCTCCTCCTGTGCTGACACTTTCCTCTTGGAGCCGAGGGGCTGACTCTGCAGAGGCCACGAGCGTGACGGACCCCTGTCCTTGTCCACGCAGGGCGCTGTGTGTCCCGGCCGCAGTGGCCTTCTCGGCTGCATCGCGGGAGGGAGCCCTGGCTGGTGAAGAAAGAGCTGGCGGGAGGCCTCTTCTCAGGTGAGCGCGGGAGGCGGGCGCGGGAAAGCCTTCACAGCGGAGGGGGAGCTGCCCTGGAGGCCGCGTCCTTGCTAAGGCACAGGGGTCAACGCTGCCCAGGCCTGTTGGGCTGGAGGGAAAATTGAGGCCTGCCTTTTCAAAGTTCTCCTTCTCCTCCTCCTCCTCCTCCTCCTCCTCCTCCTCCTCCTCCTCCTCCTCCTCCTGGGCGGTGACTGTGTCGGTAGCCCTCCTCCTGTCTCTGGCCACTCGGATGTGCGTCAGCCACTCTGTTCCTCAAGTGACCTTCCCTGGCCCCGTGGGCTTTTGCGCTGCCTTCCGAAGGTTTCCTCCTCCTCGGTCAGAGGCCCATTCCCTTCATATGCGTCCTTTCCTCTGAGAACCACCAATTGACAGTTCATTGAGGGGCCGCTCTGTTTGGCATTGGCAGGTGTTGGAGAGACGGAGTTTGCGAATACGTTACTCAGACCATTACTCTAATAATGGGAGGATAAGACATATTCATGGATAACTGGCATGAGGTAGAAATTGCAGAATTTCCCATAAGGCATTGCAGGGGCAAAGGAGAGGATCCCGGTGGCGTTCTTGTAGTTGGACAGGGTGGGCGGAAGTCGGATGGCAAGAAGGTGTCAGTGGTGGGGGGTCTCTTCCTTGTTTGCTACACAAGGGAAGGCAAAGAAATTTCTTTGACAAATAACGGTTTATAGAAAGTGTAATCCTATCAACTGTCTGGATGACCCTGTAAACACAATATGTTATCAAAGCAACTTTGACCCCTTTCAAGTATTTTGAACATAGTGGGGATTGTAGTCTATGCTCAGTCGTGCACACAGATCCTTTCACACGCCCTCCATGTTGCACATCTCCGGTTAGGTTACTTCACAGCTATTGTTATGGAAAATGTGCGCACAGTAGGCATCCTGTGGAAGGGGAAACCAGGTGCTTTGGGGATCACTGTGTTCCTGGACCTGGACGTCTGCTAGGCTCTGAGAGCTGCTTTGCTTTCAGCAACTCCAGCGATGACCAGGAGTGTGGGTTTCATTGTGTCCTCAGCACGTCGGGTATCTTGATGAAAATGCTTACTCATTATTTGAAGAAAGATTATGGCCGCAAGTTACTTTTTTATTATGAAAACGTTTGAATACTTTCCCTGAATTTGGTTATTCTCTTTATCCTTTTATAAAATGTTTCTCATTTACACCCACTTATCTATTCATGTCTTTTATAGTCTCAGGGACTTTTCTGTAAAGCATGCTAGTTTTTTGATGTTCTGTCTCAAACTATTTTCACATCCTATATAATAAAATCCCGCAAACGGCAGAACGACCAGAAAGACTGGTTGACCAGTTGCTATGACGTGCACTGACCACCAGGGTGCAGATGCTCAACACAGGAGCTGCCCCCTGGTGGTCAGTGTGCTCCCACAGTGGGAGCACCGCTTGGCTGACCGGGATGAGTAACACTCCCACAGTGGGCCGATTTCCGCAGGCCACGCCCCCCACCAATGCACGAATCCTGTGCACCGGGTCTCTAGTATGGTAATAAGAGTTGTTGTTTTAAGTAGACCTTTTAAAAATATAAAACTTTGGAAATATTTACATAGTCTCATGTATTCTTTTATGATTTCTCCTTCTATTTGTGTCCTTAGAAACTTGATACATGTAGTTCTTTTTTTTAATGACTCTCTAGTATTACAGTATATAGATACAATTCACTTAACTGACTTACTATTAAGGACATTTGAACATTTAGGTCTTTTCCAGTTTTTAAAAAGTGGTCCCGTTTGCACAGATCTCTCTGCATGATAAAGTACACATGTTTTTAAAGTTTCACGGATATAGTGCTAAACCATTGGTGACAAACATCTCCCCAGTAGTATTTGGTTGGTTCGTGTGTTTTGTTTTCTTCCATTTTTGCCAAGCGGTTGAATGAAAATTGAGTTTTATTTAATATTTATTTCCCAGAAGCTTGTGATGTTGAGAATGTATGCATTTAAATCCATTTGGAGTTCAGATTTTGTTAATGGTGTCTTTATACTCATTACTCATATTTCTATTGGGTCCTAATTCCTTGCCTTTATATTGTATGAATATAAGCCCTGTTTTGTGAATGTGATACATTTTTTTTCTTAGTTTTGTGTGGTCTCTAAGTTTGCATGATATTTCTTGCAGTACAGTAGTTTAAATTGGGTGGTATTTTCATTAATAGAAGCATTAACTCTGTTGACTGCTTTTACTCTTAGTTTTTCTTTTTATTAATAGATATATTAAATAATACATTTGGTTTCCTTTCTGTTGCTTACTTAATTCTTTCTTGCTCTCTTCCTATCCATGACACATTGTTGAGTCTTCCTATCCATGAACACAGGATGTCTTTTCTTTTATTTGACTCTTTTTAATTTTATTAAGCAATGTTTTGTAGTTTTCAGCATCAGTCTTGCACCTCCTTGGGCAAATTTATTCCTAACTAATTTCTTCTTTTAATGTTATTTTTAATGGAATTGTTTTCATAATTTCCTTTTCATAGTGTTCATTCTGAGTGTATACAAATGTAGTGATTTTTGTGTGTTGCTCTTGTAACCTGCGATTTTGATGAATTAGCTTATTAACTCTGACACTTTGCTTGTGAATTCTTTAGGGTTTTCTGTATATGAGATCATACCATCTGCAAATTTGGATGCCTTTTATTTCTATATCTAATTGTTCTGGCTAGAACTTCCAGACCAGTTTTGAATAGAAGTAGTGAAAAAGGCATCCTTATTTGGTTTGATCTAAGAAGGAAAGCTTTCGGTGTTTTTTTTATTATTTAAAAAAATATTTCCTTTTCCCTATCTTACCGTCATCTTTTTTCAGACATTTGTCTCTCTGCATCATCTCCCAATACCAGTTTCATCTATGTATATTTATTAAGATACAACTACATATGCACAATTTTTGGTATATGCTAACTGATTTAGCAAAAGGATTTCAGATATATACATTCCTCCCTGTAACCTGAAAGTGTGGAATAAAACATATATTTTTTCAGTAGTACATCTGAGCATAATTAATTATAATATTAAGACTCACCATTATTATAAAAACAATCTCCTCAAAATGAGAAATTAAATTGCAAGACCCTATCCTTATTAAATGGCCAGGAAAGAAGTGAAGATTTTATCAGGCTCATGGGAAGTAAACAAATAGGTTCACAAATGTAAAAATGATTCAATGGGATTACTAAGCTTTGGCCATCAACTGGTAATGTTGCTTTTGTTGAAATTATTCAAATAAAATATGGTTTACAGAAGCATCATTTCCTGGTCGTAGGGCAGTAATCAGGCTTTCAGATACTCTTAATGCACGTTACAGAGTGCAGTCTCTTTTTGTGCGTTTGGCCTGTTTCTTAGAACAGCTTTTGTGATGTGATGACTGCCGTGGCATCCAAAGCCAGATAGACAGAGAGTGAAATAATTGAAGTCAGCGAATGTCATAGGGTATATTTTTAGGTGGTGTGATTGCAGAACGTTTTTTTCAACTCCCGCTCTTTTGATATGTAACCAGTCCACATATATATTTTCTTCTCATGTCTCCTGAGGTTCCTGTATGGGTTCAGTCTGGGGTCTCTCATATACATTGTAGGCTGCATGTTTAAATGCAATAGCTTTTACAAATGCATAGTTTATGTGGTTGAATTCACCATTTAGTGAACCCATTTACAGTTTTCTTTTTAGCATATTTTTTTTCTAGTCCATGATAAAGGAAATATTTGTTTTCTTGATATGTTTCAGGCCAACAATCTGTACATGAGACCCAGGAATTATTTCCAAAGCAGGATTTATTTGCTGATGTGCTAACAGACAGAACTTTAAGCACTAATCTGGAATGTTCAACTTTCAGAGAAAATTGGGATTCTGAGGGTGTGTTTGAAAGGAAGCTGGTAGGCCGGGAGACACAATTCAGGCAAGAAACAGGCACTAATAGCAAAACCCTCTCTAAAGAAAGAGAGCGTACGTATAACAAATCTGGAAGATGGTTCCCTTTGGACGTGTCAGAAGAGAGAGTTCATAACCGTGATTCAGTTAAGAAAAGTTTCCCCCAAAATGCAGTGGCGATAAAACATACAGGAGTCTGCACAGGAAAAAAACCTTTCAAATGTAATGAATGTAAGAAAACGTTCACCCAGAGCTCATCTCTTACTGTTCATCAGAGAATTCACACCGGAGAGAAACCCTATAAATGTAACGAGTGTGGAAAGGCCTTTAGCGATGGCTCCTCCTTTGCCCGACATCAAAGATGTCACACTGGCAAGAAGCCCTACGAATGCATTGACTGTGGGAAAGCCTTCATACAGAACACATCCCTTATTCGTCACTGGAGGTACTATCACACTGGGGAGAAACCCTTTGAATGCATCAACTGTGGGAAAGCCTTCAGTGACCACATAGGACTTAATCAACACAGGAGAATTCATACTGGAGAGAAACCCTACAAATGTGATGTGTGCGACAAGTCCTTCAGGTACGGCTCATCCCTTACTGTTCATCAAAGGATTCATACTGGAGAGAAACCGTATGAGTGTGATGTTTGTCGAAAAGCCTTCAGCCATCATGCATCCCTCACTCAACATCAAAGAGTGCATTCTGGAGAGAAACCTTTTAAGTGCAAAGAATGTGGGAAAGCTTTTAGGCAAAATATACACCTTGCTAGTCACTTGAGAATTCACACTGGAGAGAAGCCCTTTGAGTGTGGGGAATGTGGCAAATCCTTCAGCATCAGTTCACAGCTCGCCACTCACCAGAGAATTCACACTGGAGAGAAGCCCTATGGGTGTAAAGTTTGCAGTAAAGCCTTCACCCAGAAGGCTCACCTCGCACAGCATCAGAAAACTCATACGGGAGAGAAGCCATACGAGTGCAAGGAATGTGGGAAAGCCTTCAGCCAGACCACACACCTCATTCAGCATCAGAGAGTTCATACCGGAGAGAAGCCCTATAAATGTGTCGAGTGCGGGAAGGCCTTTGGTGATAACTCATCCTGTACGCAACATCAGAGGCTTCACACGGGCCAGCGGCCTTATGAATGTTTTGAGTGTGGAAAGGCATTTAAGACAAAGTCATCCCTGATTTGTCATCGCAGAAGTCACACCGGAGAGAGACCGTATGAGTGCACTGCCTGTGGCAAAGCCTTTAGCCATCGCCAGTCCCTTAGCGTGCATCAGCGGATTCATTCCGGAAAGAAACCGTATGAATGCAAGGAGTGTAGGAAAACCTTCATCCAGATTGGACACCTCAATCAACACAAGCGAGTCCACACGGGCGAGCGGGCCTATAACTACAAGAAAAGCAGGAAAGTCTTCAGGCAGAGCACACACTTTGCTCATCAACGAATTCATGCCGGAGAGTCATCCGCACGCCCCTCCTTACCTTCCACGTCAAATCCTGTGGATCTTTTCCCCAGATATCTCTGGAACCCATCCTCGCTCCCATCACCATAATCTCAGTATCGTTCTTCCAGCTAGACTACTCCAGTAGTGTATAGACTGGTCTCTGCTCTTTTGTTTTTGTCCTCGACAAGGTTGTTTTTCACGTGGCAGTCAGGGTGATGTGGCTGTGAATGTAACTCGCTCACTTCTGATGTAAAAACTTGCATTGAGGTCCTCTAAACTGGTTACTGCCTAAGACGCTCCTAGAACAGTGCCTCGTCCACACGAAGTGTGAGTGACTTTAGCTCCTTTACAACATTATTTTGGGACATTGAAGCATTGCCATAGTTAGCTCTGAATAAAAATGGTGCATAACACAAGACCAGGCGGAACAAGGTTTTAGATTGGGAAGATGAGTTTGGGGAAGTCCATGAAGCTTTGCCTATGTCGTTTTAAAACTTGATTCCATTTTGCTGAGTTCATGTTGTGGGTTTCCACCTTATCTGCATAAATGTAAGGTGCACTTGGTGAGAAAATTTAGCTTTACATCTGACAACAGTCTTAGGAAGTGTGTAGGGAATATGGATGAGTAGGTCACCTGGAACAATCAGAAAATGCAAGCTTTATATGAATAAAGTTAAAACTACAGACATGTTACTCGAGAATTAGAAAATTTGGCAAGATTTGACCTATTGAAAGTCACCTGGACTCATGAATGAGTCCTCTTAAACTTTCAAGGAACCATTAACCTGAGGTATACTCATCAAGAGTAGGGGTCAGCAGCCCTCGCTGACTTGGCTCATTGGAAAAAGTGTCAGCCTGTGGATTGAAGGGTCCCGGGTTTGATTCTGATCAAGGGCCCGTACCTCAGTTGCAGACGCGATCTCTGCACCTGGTCAGGTCTTATGCGAGAGGCAACCTATCAATGTGTCTCTCTCACATCATTGTTTCTCCCCCTCCCTTCCACTTTCTAAAAACCAAAGGGAAAATATCCTCAGGTGAGGATTAACAACAAAAAAGAGTAGGGGTGAGCAAACTGACTCATGGCCAAAGTCTCACTGGCTGTTTTTGTATGGCCCATAACCTAAATTTTTAAAACATGTTTAAATGGTTGGACAAGTTAAGAGAATAATATTTTATGACAACATGACTATTATATGAAATTTACATTTCAGTGTCTGTAAAGTTTTATTGGCTCACAGCCACACATTTTTATTTTTTTACATATTGCCTTTGGCTGCTTTCATTCTACAAGGTCAGAGTTGAGTACCTGCAACATACAAAATACAGCCTGCACAACCTCAAATATTTACTATCCTTTTACAGAAAAAGTTTGCCCACCCCTGCTCTAGCACAGAGAAGTAATATACAAAAGGTTCTAATTATTTCTTCAAGGAAAATACAACTTTTACATCAACATGAAAACTGTCAAGCAACTTCAAATAGAGGTGATGGGAAACGATTAAACCATATTGAACAATATAAAATGTGAATAAAAAGAAATATATTTTTCTAGATGAAACACTGGATACTATTAAAATATTTGTAAAGTGTTTTTCCCAACAGAGTCCCAGTAGGATATGTTTATTTTGACAGTTTTTTTTAAAACCACACGAGGAAAGATAATTTGTCAAGTATAGCCAGACATTTTAACAATAAGTTTCTTTGCATTTGAAATTTTATAAAAAGACTGGTTTTTAATTTTGGGGAAATGATGTTTGACAGTCCGTTGTCTACTCTCCAAAAACAAAACAAAACAGCAAATTTACACCTTCCAGGGGAATGTAATACAATTGTATATAATACAGTTGGATTTATTTAGCAGAACATGGAGTCCTAGAACACATTGTTAGAGAGTCAAGTTGGCCCAAATAAAGATGTAAAACTTCAGCATTGAGAAAGGCACCAAAGAGGTATGAAAGACAATTGATAGGAAATATATACAACTTATATGGAAAAACCAACAACAAATTATGTCATTTAGGAACAAAGTGCTATTACACATACAAAGCAATGGGAAGAAGTTGACAGTGTATACCAACAGGCCTGTCACAGTTGAAGAATTCACATGAACAAAGAAAATTTGTGAAGTTCTTAGCCATTACAAATGAAAACAAATTGGCCTCTCAGATGGGTCAAAATCTAGAATTTGGATACCATCCAGCACTGGTATCAGTGGGGAGAACAGGCACTTGTTCATCATTAGTGTGTAAGTGAGTCTCATCTTTTTGGAAAACAACACAACAAGACTTACCAACATGAATGTGCATTTCTCTTGAAACCGTCATTCTAGATCTGTTAATGTTATCCTATTGGAATAAATGGGGAGATGTAAATAATATTTATGGCAGATTGTTTTAATTTTGACAAAAAGGATTTCAGTGTCCCGCCAAGCAGATTAAAATTGTAATTATTCAATCCTGTATTGTCCAGTCAGTATTAAAAGGTTAAGCTCTAGCCCTAACCGGTTTGGCTCAGTGGATAGAGCGTCAGCCTGTGGACTGAAGGGTCCCAGGTTCGATTCCAGTCAAGGGCATGTACCTGGGTTGCGGGCACATCCCCAGTAGGGGGTGTGCAGGAGGCAGCTGATCGATGTTTCTCTCTCAATGTTTCTAACTTTTTATCCCTCTCCCTTCCTCTCTGTAAAAAATCAATAAAGTAAAAAATAAAAAAAATCAATAAAATAAAATAAAAGGTTAAGCTCTATGTGTGTTTCTATGGAGAGTTATCTGTCCACAATCTATTAAATAAAATTTGTGGTTTGCAGAACCTTGTGTGTAAAGTGATCTTGTAGTCATAGAGTCAATATTGAATTGCATATATATATATGTATATATATATATATATATATATGTGTATATATATGTGTATATATATGTGTATATATGTATATCTTTGCATGTACATATATCTGCATGTTTGTGTATATATTTTTCCGTATATATGTTGAAATCTGTTTTTGTCTTTAACACACACACTTTTTCTAGCTCTTTGTTGGCACTCTCACATTTTTCATTCTGCATTCTGGTGAACTGCCAGTCACATGCTTTCAGTTAAGCCAATCGGATTTGTCATCCTCTGGGTGTGATTGGAGACACCAGGACAGGAGTGGGGTCAATATCCGGCTTTCCGTGTGGCCCGAGTGTGTGTTTTCTTTCGGTCAGTACTCGTGTTGATTTGGGTCCTTATGGTACCCACTATTAACTACATGGAATATCCCTCTTGGACTGGAAGTAGTTGTAATCGAGTCATCCTTTGGCAACAGCCTGAAGCTTTCTGCCTCTCTACCTCTCACTCTGATCCATTAAAATGACTTCTTCCTCACATCCTAGTTTCATTCTGTTCTTTAAATCTGCAAGGCACCTGGCATTCTTCCAATGTTTAACTTCCAGTTCTAAGTAAAAGTTATCATCTTTCAACCAAAGAAAGCTAGCTTGTATAGGAATTGGTACTACAGAATGATCAGACTATAAAGAAGCAGGATGTAGTCATCAAAAGTGTTCACTGTTGCCCTGACCGGTTTGGCTCAGTGGATAGAGCATTGGCCTGCGGACTCAAGGGTCCCAGGTTCGATTCCGGTCAAGGGCATGTACCTTGGTTGCGGGCACGTACCCACCCAGTGGGGAGTGTGCAAGAGGCAGCTGATCGATGTTTCTCTCTCATCGATGTTTCTAATTCTCTATCCTTATACCTTCCTCTCTGTAAAAAAATCAATAAAATACATTATTATTTAAAAAAGTGTCCACTGTAGGACAGTGATGGTGAACCTTTTGAGCTCAACATGTCAGCATTTTGAAAAACCCTAACTTAACTCTGGTGCCGTGTCACATATAGAAATTTTTTTATATTTGCAACCATAGTAAAACAAAGACTTATATTTCTGATATTTATTTTATATATTTAAATGCCATTTAACAAAAAAAAAAAATCAACCAAAAAAATGAGTTCGCGTGTCAGAGGTGTCAGGTTCGCCATCACTGCTGTAGGATAATCATCTTCCAAGCTCATTTAAACTGTTGGCCGGCCTGGAGTCCGCTCTGACTTGGCTGGACACATCAATTTCTCCCCACGTGGGCAGCTCACAGCAAGGCAGCTTGCTTCAAGGCAAGGGAAGGTACCCAAGATAGACGCCAGAGTCTTTTTGTAAACTAACATTACAACTGACGTTCCTGGGTTAGAATTGAGTTAATTAGAAGTGGGTTACACACACACACACACACACACACATACAAAGTGGGTCACTAGACCCAGCTCACTTCCAACGGGAGAGGATTATGAAAGACTAGAGGCCTGGTGCATGAAATTCATGTACAAGTAGGGTCCCTAGGCCTGGCTGGCGATAAGGGCTGTTCTTTGGGGTGACTAGCAGGGCGATTGGGGGCCCCCACTGGCGCCTGCGAGCTGGGGGCAGCTCCTGCATTGAGCGTCTGCCCCCTGGTGGTCAGTGCACGTCTTAGCAAACGGTTGAGCGGCCTTAGCATATCATTAGCATATTACGTTTTGATTGGTTGAATGAACAACCGGAAGACCAGACACTTAGCATATTAGGCTCTTATTATATAGGATTAATCATATTTATTTTAAATTGCTGGCATGAAAATTCCAAAATCTCTGCCATATCTGAGCCTACTTCTGATGCTTGCTTTGTCTCTTCATACTGTGTTTTTTCTTGTGCATGCCTTGTAATTTTTGGTTGATAGCTGGCCATAATGTGCCAGGTAATAGAAACTAAGGTAATTAGAATTTTAGCGTGAAGTTTTATGTTAACCTGGCTGGGAGCTGGGCTCTCTTTAATGCTTGATGTAGCTGTAAGTGCCACATACTTTTATTTCTTCGGTTTCCTTGTTTTGTTTTTCTTCCCCTGCTGTGTTTGGACTTCCCTAGGAACGTCTTAAATAGAATCCGAGTCCGTCTGTGTCTTGCTGCTTGTTGTAATTGCTAAGATTGACTGAAGCCCTGTTGGTGTGATAGTAAAGTATGGGGAAAGGGAAGCATTCTGTATCCTATGATTAACTCTCAGTTTCTCAGTGGGTTTGAGTTCTTGGGCTGTGACCTTCAGAAGTGCTTCTTAGCCCTTATTGAGACAGGAGGGCTAGAGGGACTGGAGCTGCCAATTGGCCTTCCTCCCGGGCCAACAGTGCTCTAGCAGTGGTGCTCAACCTTCCTAATGCCACGACCCTTTAATACAGTTCCTCATGTTGTGACCCAACCATAAAATTATTTTTGTTGCTACTTCATCACTGTCATGTTGCTGCTGTTATGAATCGTCATGTAAATATCTGATATGCAGGATGTATTTTCATTGTTCGCGACCCACAGGTTGAGAACCGCTGCTAGTGTGTCGTTTTCCTTGGCGTGCAGGGCTTTTGTTACGGAGAATGCTCTGAGCTCTGTCAAAGGGTTTACTTTTCCCACCCTCTGCCCAAAGCAACAAGGTTCTCCCACACCCCAGGTACCCTGATTTTTAGTTTGAGAACTTGGTGGAGTTCCTGGAGGTAAAATCCAGGCATCTTAGGGGACACCTGACGATATGCCAGACGCTTTTTTAGTTGGCAGGAAGACGGCCCTAAACAAGACCGAGAAGCTGTGGGCCGGACAGGGGGTGACGAAATGGGCACAGGGGGTAGAGATCAGCAGCCAGGGAGACTGAGTGACAGGTGACCTACCCACACACTCCCAGAGTCACAAATCGCAGTGCACAGAGCAGCAGGCGAAATCTAAGCCCTCCTGCCCTGCAGGCGCCATCCATCCCCTGGACCAGCCGTTCTGAGCCGCACCACAGCCCATCCGAGGCTTTACCGGCCCAAGCGCCCTGTACCCCACTCGCCCTCCCGAGGCCCTCGAGCTGGTGGCTCTCAGCCTCCGGAGCCTGCCCGTGGCCCCCCACCCTCAAGCGCGGGGGTCACCATGGAGACGGTCCGTGCTTCTGGGGACCCAGAATCGGGGCTGAGGCGGCTCCAAAAGGTTCTATTCCGGACCAGGAGGCACCTGTAGGAGATGGTGACCACTAGGACCGGAGGGGAACCCTGTGCTACAGCTCTGTCGCCTGCTTCGCTGCCGCCCGGCGGGGACTACATTTCCCAGGGGGCGTTGCTGCGCCAGGACACGCCCGCTTCCGGTCAGGGCTCGGCGCGGCGCGCGGCGTGAGCGAGCGCGTTGGGTTCTGAGGAGACAGCGGGGAGGGGCGGTGGGAGTGGCTGACGTCGGTGCGTGCGTGTGCGTGCGCGTGCGCGGCCGCGAAGGAGCGTGTGAAGCGAAGAGTAGGCGGTGGCAGGTGGCTA